CAAACGGCTCAAAACAGCAGTTACCCACTAGATTTGAATATTCACGCCGTTTTAGGGTCTCTGCCGTGGAAGAGGCCGTACCAGCGCATGCAGCGGTACTTAAAAGTGTCATGGTGCAAGATTGTCTACACACGTCGCACCCCATACCAAAGGCCTACGCATCTTCCACAGAGCAACGACATACCATCTGGTCTCTTGCCGTCATCACGTACCAAACCATTAGGTTCCAACACAGCTGGTACGCTACGCCGGTTTCTCAACCGGCTTTATTCATCGATGCTGGCATGGCCAACTATGCTATGTTATATACTAGACTATAAAACAGTTAAAATCCTTTAACTGCTTTATTACTTAGTAACTATATTTTTACAACAAGTACAAGACGTGGCAGCTACAGGAAATTGATTTGCTATAAAGCAGTTAAGGTATGGTAAGCTGCCTTATAGTGCAGTATTGTATGTAAAAATAAAAATAGTTGCTTAGCTAAAAGTTAGAAAAAAATAAAAAGTACATAACACAACATCACGCCTTTTATCCCCGAAGGGGTAGGCAGAGGTGTACATTATGCCACTGTACAATGTAACACCCACTTTTCACTATTTATGTTAAGAGTCCCATGTAATAGGGGGTGAGCCTATTGCCATATACCGGGCACAATTCTAGACTCCGTGCTACTACTGAGAATTTATAAAAACTCAGTAGTACTTCGCCCGACCCGGGAATCGGACCCGGGAATCGGACGCACAAAGATTATACCTACAAATATAACTGGCAATCTTATTCCTAAGTAGCACAGTTTCTACCGCCTGACGCAGATGCTTACCGGACACGGAAGTTTCGGTAAGTTCCTGTTTTGAATTTGGCGGGAGAAAACGCCCGGGTGTCATCACTGCGAGGATCGCCCGGAGAACACAGTGGAAGGTGATTCCTCAGGAATGTGATCGGCAAAGGGCTGTGCCGCACGTGTGTGCGCCGGTATGTAGTAGTAGTATGGATTGATGCGAAAAAATTCAAGTGTTTTTTACTAAATTATTATATTTTCACATTTGAATATTAAAAAAGCAAATTTTGTGTAAATTTATAAGATACCTAACTTTTTGGTAATTTCCATAAGTGGGTCTGGGTACCCACTTCGACAAATAATAAAAATATAAACACTTGAAAAATTTCAACAATAACAAGATAACAAAACACATTTCTCATGAAATTATAAGTGTATGTATATATATGTTGGAGTGATGTGTGGGCGATTTTGAGCGAGAGTCCTCTTAGTCATACGGTATATATTTGTATGAACCATTTTATTTTTTTGTATCTAACACCCTACATACAGTTGTTTTTATTTTCTACATTATTTGTCTTCTTACCTACCATCCGTGAGTCACTGCAGGGTACCACCAGAAGACGAGCGTTGAGTGACGATCTGTGCATGCAATGTGTCGAATAAATGTTTTTCTTTCTTTCTTTCTTTCTTTCTATACGTATCGATAGAGGAAATAAAATATTGATTTATTTCTGCCTACACATACCTACCTTCGTAATGAAAGGATTTTTATTTTCGTACAGTTCACCTTTACTTGTGCAAATTTTAACTAAGCCCACATTTCCCACCGACTATTCTGAGAAGAAATCTCAAACTCAATAACAATTTCACAACACTGATTCTAATAGTTAACACTGATTTTAATGATTGCAATCACTGAATACTAACCGACTGACAGTATTCTTAGTAAGTACTTGTTCGCTCGGAGCCGAAGCCAAGAGTGAGTGTGGTGCCATGTTGAACGTCACTCAATCTCCCCTACTCTTAGACGGGTTTTTTTAAGGGGGGGAAATCATCGAATGACTGCTCCCGCCTGGGTGATGCGGAATGGAGTGTCAGACTCTTACTGACTAAAAACCACCCCGTTCCTACTCCTGCACGTCGAGCCGGAGCCCCGGTTACCCGTTAGGTTCTCCGCGGCTCCGAACTCTTAGACGGGTATGATGCCACAAATAACTGTTGAAGCGCGGCATCTTTATTTCTTCATTTTGTAGTAAATCAAAATCCTGTACTAATCACCTTTTTGACATATATTATCTTATGTTAACTTGGTGGTTTGTAAGAAGTATAATAGTAAGGATTTCCTATCTGTACCACCGGAGTTCTATAATCTTTTAAGTTACAGTCTTCAACAATTCTTCCCAATTTGATAGGGCCCAAAAACGTAAGTAATTATTTGTCGGGTATTTGATTGAGTTTCTTTCAATTTCTGAATTTTATTCGTTTATATTCGTGTTTCTTACAAAATATATCGATTCATCAACGTCTCGATATACCTATCTTTCACAGTACATCAAAAACTAAAATTATAGAAATTATTCTCAGTAAAAAAGTAACGTATTATCGTGGGTCAAATCTGACAGCTGGCTACATATATCAGCTCTGAGATAGTCAGAATTCTGTACTTTGCCCCCCTACTGCAGCTTGATACATAGCATGATACATTTACCGGCTTTGGCGCACTACTGTATCATAAACATTAAAAGAGTATTAACTGAAAATGTTGACTTCTGGGTCAATTTTGACCCATGATACCAGTTACGGGTTAAAAAAATGAACATAAATACAAAATCAACATACAAAGTAAAACAAATCATGATTAATAATTTATATGATAATTTCAGGTTATTCTCATCTAGCTAATGGAGAATACTTGTATAGACATAAATCTTGTAACTAGGATTATTCATCAACAACTTGCTTTGAAGTATAAACTTGTAGAATTTGCAGTGCCGTATTATAAGTATCTGCCTGACCCAGTTCTTGATAATGGAGATGTCACATTGCATTGGGATCGAACTATCATCACAGACAGGACAATTGTTGCAAGCAAACCTGACATTGTAGGGATAGATCAACCAAGCCGACACACAATGATAGTTGATATAACAATCCCATATGACAAGAATCTCGTTAAGTTGAAAAAGATAAAGCAAATGAATATCTTGATACCATTTATGTAAAAAAAACTATAAAAAGAAGTATTTATAACACAAGTTAGTCAATTAGGACTTGAGGAAAATACAATATTCATCATCATATTCAAAATGATTTCCAAGCAAACTCCCGCCCGAGTTTATTTATACATATTATTTCAATAAGTAGCAAACGAAACCTATGGCATGGAATCTAAAGAAAGCAGCCAAAGAAATGCCATAAAATTACGTGGGAAAAAATCATTGTAAAAATTGTATCAGCATTCGTGGAATATTTTATTAATAGTTTACACTCACGTAATTCTTGGAAATGAGGGTATACTCAATCAAAAACCAATTAGCGACATTCTATTGATGACGGGACAATGATGGTGTATAGTGGAATGCTATTCACCAAGGAACACATTGTATTCAATCGAGTAACGGCCTGACGCTTCAGGCTTCTGTGGCCGCTTAGGGTATTGAATCCCTAGGACAAGGATGTAATAGCAGTACGGACTGTAATAGCCCATCACAGCTCAAAATGTAAATAGAACGGTGCATAAGCCCATGCAAAAATTAATACCCTACCAGACACAAACGTAAAGTTATGTCGAAGTAATTACTTCATGTGTATGAAGACGGAATTCACGAATGATACCACGGCCTCACAGAAAACCGACGTTATGCAACGCTTGCGTTGTGTTTCGTCGTGTGAGTGAGGTTACCGGAAGCCCAATTACCCTCCCCTTCCCCAATCTCCCCAATTCCTGAATCCCCAACGATCCTCAAACTCCTAATCCCCAAAAGGCCGGTAACGCACTTGTAACGCCTCTGGTGTTCCAGGTGTCCATGGGCGACGCCGATTGCTTACCATCAGGTGATCTGTCAGCTCGTTACCGGCTTATGCCATAAAAAAAAACTTTAAGATAGTCACGAGATATTTTCATTCAGGAAATTAAAAAGTCGTACAAAGTAAAATTACTTACACAAAAGTCGGTCGTAAGACAACCTGTCAAGTGGCCAATGAAACGCATATTAAACATCGCTTTGCATAACTGATATTATCTAATCTAAGTTTTCATCATAAAAGTCTATTTTTATTTTTAAAGAAGAATACCTAAAATAACCCAGAGTCGATCAAAACCATTCATGGACTATTTAATAGAACAAAAGTAAGAGGTCAGAAATACGTTATTCATTTTTAAAAAATAATCATAGCCAGGCGCCTTCAGAATATCACAATTTTGTATAAGTGTATATTGTTTTTGGTTCTATATTTGTTACTAGACTATTGAAAGCTATGAATAATACAGAAAAGGAATTACAAACGAACCCCCCAAAACTATAAGATTTTCCAAGATTAACATACCACGATGTGGTTTTATTCAAGAAAACCAGTGTAAACTGGTTTAATCTGCGGAAAGATCACACAAAGCGGGACAATGATAAAGTAGACCTATTTCTTATTAATTGGCATATTATGTATGCTCTACCTTGCCATATATAAATTATTTAATTGATTCTACGTTTATGATTACTACATTTTGGGCATTGTCCTAAAGGAGATGTAAACATCAATAAATGTCACATAATAAAATCATTTTACATAACTTATATTTCAATACTAACTTTTAATAATAAAATAATTAAAAATAAATACACCATTTGATATTTGTACAACAATAAAGTAGGTTATTAGTACAGATTAACCGCGTGCTATAGGGGAGAGGATATGGGAGAGGGGGGTGTAAAGACCTATGTTCTGTACCAGTAGCAGCTTATCTAGGCACCATCGAGCATCCGCAGTGCACGTTACGCCGGGTGGTTACAGCCCAGTGTACTAGGGCTCAGTAGCCTACACAGTATAGGTCGGGCGCCCGCCAACGAAGGCGGTCTCGTCGACGCACGGCGCAGCTACAAGTACTGAAAAATAATTATGTTAGTGTAACACAGGCCCCGCGGACGTGGCCAGCGCGCTTCTAATAGTTAAACTCAGTTAATTTTGAATTATTATTAATTACATATTTTTTGTGTGAAGTACGACGTTTCTGCTGATTCAAATTTGGAAAAGTGTAAGTATATTTTTAAGTGATTTTAAATTTATTTTTGTTATTTTAATTTTTGTTAAGGTTTAGTCTGTATTTTTTTAATTTATAATTTGTTGAATTATTTTTAAGGTACTTTTGTTGTGCTATATTTTAATTATAATTTTTTTGTCTTTTTAATTATGGTTTTATTATTATGTTGGAATTTTATTTTTAAATAAATAAATTATTAAACATTTTATTTTTTTATTTTTAGTTTCTTTTATCTTTCAGGTATATTTTATTGTAAATATTGAAACATATATTAGGTCTTGAATATATTGTGTTGATTGGCGTGATAGTTTTGAGCTGGAAAAACTAGACTGTGTTTTTTTAATTAACGTTAGATGAAGGCATACGGTTACATAGTTAATCATTCAGTAAAATTCTTTATAGTCGCCCTCGCACCTAGGGCTTTGTTAGTATTTCTTATTTTTCCTTGTTGACGAGGAAAATATTTGATCACATTTATTTTTAGGCAAACAGTTTTTATCTTCAAATATTTTGATAGGTCCGATAATTTTTATTGAAGACATAATTTCTTTAATCATTTTATATTTATTGGGATCTTTGTTTTAACTGTAACATTTTTTAAATTTTTAATGGGATATTCTTTGAATAAAAATACGTTGATTTTCGAAGGTTCAGTATTTAGTGCTAGATGGTAACATGGGTCTGATGATGGAATTCAAAGATAGTTAAGTGAACTCAGTAATTAAACTACATAGCTTTATCGAGTTTGGGCTCTTTTAATTCGTCTTAGCGAGGTCTTTGACGACGCGATGGATAGTGTAGCATAGAACAATAGTTTGTGTGCTCCAGAATTGTTTGGTATGGGTCTACGTGTGGTGTGAGTAAATTTATGGCTTTGTAACCACAGTCACACACAAAACGTTAACTTATGAAATAGACGTGAAAGGTATATATAGTATTATCTTATTTAACCGTTGATCATTTTGCAATAGGCATATATGTATATGTATATGTATATAAAATGAAAAACTTTATTTATTCATGTGATTTTTTAAGTTTTATGAAAACAATTATATCAAGTTTATTTTTAACATAACATAACATAACATGACGCCTTTTATCGCCGAAGGGGTAGGCAGAGGTGCACATTATGCCACTGTACAATGTAACACCCACTTTTCACTATTCATATTATAAGTCCCATGTAATAAGGGGTGAGCCTTTAGCCAAATAATGAGCACAATTCCAGACTCCGTGCTACTGAGAATTTATTAAAAACTGAGTAATACTTTGCCCGACCCGGGAATCGACTTATTTTTATTTTGTATCGAAACTGACTGTATGAATATATATTTTTTACTGTTCGTCATTCAATGCGCGTGTGTTCTATTTTAGGCACGGATGGGTGGGGCTCACAGTTTTTTAATTTCTGAATTTATTTTAATGGCATTTATGACGTAATCGATAACTGCGATGAATATGTTCTGATGAGAATACAATTATAACAGCAGTACCTAATTATAATAATTCGCTGGCCGAGTGGTCGCAAGTGTGACTGCCGGGTAAGGGGTCTCGGGTGCGATTCCCGGGTCAGGCAAAGTATTACTGAGTTTTAAAAAAAATCTCAGTAGTAGCACGGAGTCTGGAATTGTGCCCGATGTATGGCAATAGGCTTACCCGCTATTACATGGGACTCATAACATAAATAGTGAAAAGTGAGTGTTACATTGTACAGTAGCATAATGTGCACCTCTGCCTACCCCTTTGGGGAAAAAAGGCGTGATGTTATGTAATGTTATAATAGTTCTATTGATTTTCAAGGACTGCCTCTTTGTGACCACCGAACTGTCCGATTCTCAGCTTCAATTCCTGGGTCAGATAAAATATTTATCATTTTAATTTTGACGTAGTCATATTAGACTATTCTGTACCTAAATTGAATTGAATGTATATTCATCCTCCATTACATGGTACCCAAAAATACTGAAAAATTCAGTTTTTAGTTTTTTTTTGTTTATTTCGTTTTCTAGTTCCTATTCGCTGCTTCGGAAAAGTAAAAAATTTGTGCAAATAGAGAGGGCGTAGGTATCAGGCTTTATTGAAACTACGAGTTTTTTATACAACCGTTCTCGTTCTGAACAAGTACGTAACAAAATTTGACGGATTGGAAATTCGTATAAAAGTACAATGCTAGAAATAGCTAGAGGATTGACTGGAAAATTAATGAGGGAGGTAGAAGATCCCGCTCTTCTGGTTTCTGTTTTGTAGCCATATAAACAGCTGTAAAGAGTACAGCTTTCAAATCAATCAACACAAAACAAAATGATTAAAGTCACTACCTAATTATGTATTCACAACTTCTAACCTATTAGTGGGTGGGTAACCTATCAGTACTAATGATAGTTATTTTTTACTTTTGACCTTTTGTTAGATAGTAGTTTTTGTTTTTTTGAAGTCGGTTTTTAAACGCAGTGTAACGCAGCAATTCGATTTTGGTTTGTGTCCGACGCACGCGCGCTACTCTAGTGGCAAGACGCCACCTCACTATCCCTCTTCCCCCGCTTCCCCGCCACTGACCGCTCGACGCTTGCGAGGACGCGAGAGAACAAGGAGTCCCGCGCTGGAGCCGTGACGCACGCGCTCCGTATTTGTGCCGCGAAATATTTGAGTTTTATCTTATTTTAATATTGTGAAACCTTGTTTATATTTAGTTTAACTTTTCCTTCAAATATTATACAGTTTACAGTTCAATCGTGTGTCGAACCTTATATCACGCCCCTGAGAACCAGACATATCGAGAACCTGACAACTAAGACAATATCTAAGTATATTAAAGCAGTTTTTATTTTATTATTTTATCATTTTCAGTGTAAAGCTACATAGACCCGTTTTGTCACTTATAATCTACATAGGTGAAAAGTCCTAATCAATATAAATTATACAAGCCCAAACACAACGTAGTTACTATAAATCGTTGAAGAGTTCCCTTAACAATTACACTTCTTCATCATCAGACCCTTAATGATAGTGCCACTCGATTTAGGTGTAAAGTTCTCATCAATACAAATTAATCAAGCCCAAATACAAGGTAGTTTCTATATACAGTTGAGGAGTTCCCTTAATAATTACACTTCTTCATCACACCCTTAATGACAGTCCCACTCTATCTACGTGTAAAGTCCTCATCAATACAATTTAATCAAGCCAAAACACAAGGTAGTTAATATAAACCGTTGAGAAGTTCTCTCGACTGTCTCTCGGCTCCATCATCAGGTCGACTCCAGACCCTTATGAAATTGTAGTGTTTAAAAATACTAATTGAAAAACATAATAGACGCACTGCTTGCCACTACTATTTTCGAAAGTTCCCCTCGGTTTCCCTAGGATCCCATCATCAGATCCTGAGTTCATGGAAATGGGATTATTTCGGGAGTATAACCTTTCAAAAAAAAAAAGAATTTTGGAAATTGGTTCACAAATGGCGGTGTAATGCGCGAGCAAACAAAAAAAAACAATCAGCCGAACATAGTACCTCCTCCTTTTTTTAAAGTCGGTAACAATACACCAAACATGATATTAATATTCAGAGTCTACGTCTTACACTTTTTTATGAAATAAGCAGCTGGTAATCCATCTGTCAGCTTACCACCAGGTATTCCTGGTGGTAAGCCATCGGCGTCGCCCATGGAGACCTGGAACAACAGAGGCGTTACACTTGTAACGTCTAAAAACGAGGATTTAGGGGTTTTATTGATTTGTATTTGAATGTTACAATTTGCATGTTGATTTTAATAAAACAATAAAAAATTCAAAGGGTATGAAGAGTGTTAAAGAGTCTGAAGGGCCAGCAGATAACCCCTTCAGTCGACCACTTCAATTTGGCACACGATGCACCAACCCCTGTATAACTCGATAAACTCACATTGGTACTTGCCGTTGGTAGGTTTTGAATCTGCACTTTAGCGGGTATCTTAAACGCAGCTAAATAATTTTGTAATGTTTTAGTACATTTCAACACTGTCACAACATTTCCATCCATTACAGAATAGAGAGATTTCTCCAAAAGCTACACAGTTCACCTTTATTACTTTGAGTTTGTTACTATTTCAGCCAAAACTTGTGCATAAAAGACGAAAGCGGTGCAAAGCAGCACGGTGAACGAGTAACAAAGTTTCCCTACACAAAAATCGTCTGTGGTCTTCAAAGAATGGTTTTGTTAGCTACGCTCGTTAGCTTAGCTTTACTTTTATCATTGCGAATTTACAAAACAAACATTATTCTTTATTATGTTTTCGGTTTACTAACGTAACTGTTTTACGAGGAGGTCGACTAGTTTCAAGCCATGCTAGAGGCTTTCACAAATAGTATTCCGTGACATGCGACGAAACGACGACTGTAGCGCTGCTACTCCGTAATTATTAATTTAGTTATCTCTCATAAAAGTTATAATATAAACATATATGATACGGTATTTGTACAAACTTCTCATCAACTTCGTTTGCATCTTATATATCGTTTGGATATACGAATTTTCCGTGAATAAATATATGACTAACATTTAGTGAAAAGCTAAAACATGTTTAGTATTTTGGCTCGCAAACATAACTATATAAATGTTTATTAACTAACTACCTCTACTATTCTCTGTTTACCTTCAAGTTCTGTGTCTGGATTTGAACCTTCCTTTAAATATCCTGGTATTTTGGAAATCTAAAGGATTTGTCAAACGTTATTCTTTATCTAAAGAAAACTCTTTGAAATCGAGATCTGAAAGTAATTGAGGAGTATCAAAACTGCATGTCAATTTTTTTTAAATACATGAAGTAAAAATAACTTTTAACTGCAATCTTTTTTGTGATTTTGTTATTATCTACATTAATTACAGTTAGTACAATTGAATCAGGATAACTTGGTTTCTAGGAAGCCAAATTTCACCAAATTCTCAGTTAAGCCTTGATATTATATCCTCTTACATATAAGGCTAATTTCATTTAGTTAACACCTGGGCCCAGGAA